AGGAAAAAAGAAGAGAAGTTTTGCCACAATTATCAACTCCGTCACCAAATTTGGCACAACTCAATTACCAAGTGAAATTATCGTACATAAAAATGTGTAAGAACCTGGATCCGTGCACGAAACTGAACCCCGTTATATTCTCTATTCCAACTCAACACGTTCAAGTTCTTGCAAACAAAATTATCATACACCCATCAAAGCATTCACAAGACTAGACAGACACACATGAGTTGATCTGTTCTGTTTACCAGAATGAAAAGAATTTACGTTCACATACCTCCATAATGGCGGATACCCACAAGCGGCGTCCACGATTGTTGGTGCCAATAATGGTAGTCAGTGGTTGATTCCGAACCTTGTGCCATAGCCAAAGGTGATAACCGATGGTGATAAAAAACGATAATGGCACCAATATTACATCAAGATAACACTTCTTCCACTCCATTGGTGTATGTGAGGTGAAAACCGTTCTCTCTGTCTTGTTCTGATATCGTTTAAAATGCGTTATATATATATATATATATATATAGACTTGAGATCATGTGAGACCAATGGTTTTTCGTGAGACCCGTAAGACCAATTATCAACCATTGGATTAGATTTATAATCTGACAATCTAAACATTCATAAACGCTACGAGATTTCTCAATAATCACAAAATTGCCACCGTACAATTTAGACCATTAGATTATTAGCTGAAGTTGTGCTAGTCCCTTTCTCATCTTAGAAACCCCACTGGAAACTGTGTTTCCTGGGTAGGGAGAAAATATTGATTCCTACTAAGATTTGCACTTGACACACTTTGTTTCTACCCACTCAAATGTTGTTTTTGTAAAAATCAATCTTATTTTACACACACATATATATATATATATATATATATATATACATATACATATATATACATACATATATATATATATATATACATATACATATATCTATATATATAAAAGGTTGGGTTCAAACAATAACATAATTATTTCACGAGAATGTGAAAACATTTTTTTATTATAGTAAATCTCATGTGATATTATATTCTATCACATGTGATACACCTGTGATACTAAATCTATATATATATATATATATATATATATATANTATATATATATATATATATATAGATAACTTACGTGGATGAACATAGACGGTGTTTGAACGTAAGGTTCGTAACCACAAAAAGCAAGTTATAAAGCAAAAGATACCTCCTTTTTGATCCTAAATTACAAACACTATCCCTTAATCATTCAACAAGGGTTTTGTTGCCTTCTTAGGCCTTTTTCGAACTTTATTTTATATTATCATATCATATTATCTTTGTTTTTTACGTAATTACTAAATTAATTAGTACTTGTCGTCTTTCTTTCAACTGAGTTTTTGGTTCTTTATATGATTATAAGTTGTTACAACTGTATTTGTATTAGTGACTTTATTATATACCCTTGAATCGGGTAATGTCTGTAAAATGATTAATTTATTTTTGAAATTACGGTTTTGCCCTCGTTCTTTCATATGTTTGCTACATTGGTACTTGCGGGATTTCATTTTACTGATTTTTTATGGTTTGAAGTTACTGGAATTTCATTTCTGTTAACGAGTTTGTCATTCTATAGGCAATACCCTTAAATTGGATATGTTTGTAGAATGATTAATTCACTTGTGAAATTTTGATTTTACCCTTGGTCTTCAGTACATATATTTACTGAATCGGTACATGTGGTCATCTGTTCAATTGAGTTTCCGAATCTATGTATGGTATAATGTATATGTACCAACTCCTGTGGAAATCTCATCTTCTCAGTTCAAATTCATGTATTGTCAAAGTCCTAGTCAGTATGCATAAAATAGTCTAGGAACCTACATTTGCCTAAAAAATGTATCTATATTATACTATAAAACATTTGACAAAAAACTCTTGCAAACTATTTTTAATGCATAAAGTATTATTTATTGATGCATATTACATAAAATTCAAGATTACAAATAAATTATGCTTAAGTACAACTTATTAAAGCTTCATGTTTGAATCCGTGTAACTAACAACAGATAAACATAATCAAACAAGGATAAACATCTTTTTTAAATATAACAAAACTAAAATATAATTAGGATAAGTATTAAGTCATAACATAATACTTAATTGTTGTTTTTATAAAGTTGTAGTATCAAACAAAAAATAAATTACTTTGTTATTAAGTCTAGATTAAATCATAATAAAAAAAAACTAAAGAAATTATAAAAAAAACGAAAACTTTTGAATAGTTAATTTGATACTAATATCTATATATCTTTTTCAAAGTTTTAAGATATCTTCAAGTTTATATTTATTCAAAAATAAAAACGTTATCGTTTTTTCAAAACCACAAAACCGTTTTATAACATATACAGAAACAAAGAATAAAACAAAATATTAAAATTAAGATGTATCTCGTTGCATTGCACGAATACATTTTTTACTATATACTAAAGAGTTTATTATTTTATAGGCAACTATTAGATATGTATGTAAAAGATGATGAATTAACTGATAAATTTTACAAATTTACCCCTAGAGTTGCTTGAGAAAAATGATATTGTCACATGTTTAGGGGGTAGTAGGGTTGTTATACCTTTCTTGGGTCATTCTCTTTTCCCATTTTTATGGCAAAAAAAAATGGAAGTGATTATTTCATTACGTTACTTATCAAACAATGCATGTGATACAAATTTTATAATACACATCATCTCATTAAAGTCACATAAGTAAAAAAAAAAGGTTAAAAGGTTAATCGGTTTAAAAAATAACAGGTTACCCATTACTACAATGGGTAGATTTTTTAAAGTGCGATGTCTTAATAAAAAATAATTTGAAAGTATATTATTGTAATAAAGAAAAACAAAAATAGAATGCTATAATAAGAAAATTTATAAAAGTAAATTGCTATTTATTATACATCTGTTTAAACATCGTTAACGAAACCACATTTTAAGAATAATACGTCACGGTTTTTTATAAAAGATAAAGGAATGAGAGAGAGTGGAAAATTGTTTACGAAACCAGATATTGACCTGTTTTAACCAAATTTCTGACTCTTTTTATAAATAAAATATCGTTTTTAGGAAAAAGAACCAAAAGCTACTACTTATAATATTAATAAAAAGTAATTGTGTTTTTTATTTATTTTCTCATATTTTATTAATTAATTTAAATAAGAAATTAATTGGTAATGGCAATATGGTAATAATGGAAAAAGATGAGAAAAGGTGGAGGCCGGAGTGAGACTCCGACTCTGCATGACCAAAGCCCATGAAATGTCATCTCACAAGTTTACACCATTTTTGGGTATTTATTTTTACTACAAATTAATTTCTAATAAAAATGTGTTTTTATTTTATTTTTAACGATAAGAGTGGTGTCTGATTGGTTTGAACTTGAACTTGAAATATCAAAAGTGTCTGTAGGGTCCAGGTTTGAATCCAAGGAGGAAAAAAAATTCTTTTGTGGTTACGGAGGTTCAAATATTGTGACTCTGGGCTACCTGCGAAGCGGGTGGTAGCTCTGGATATCCAGATTAATAATATATATATATATATATATATATATACACTTTTAAAATCGTTTATTTAAAAATAAATAGTTTAAAAAACGTCTACGTAACCATCTATTGTTTAAAACATATTTACGTTAAAGAATATGTTACTGCAGACATGTAAAAATTTCATTTATACAATGTTTTTCAATACATATTCTTAAATAAGAATTTTGGGAAATTGTTTAACAAAATTAAAAGCAAACGAAGATGTTACATTTTCATGCATTTTGTTCTATTTTAAGGTTAAATTATACATGATATAATGGGAATGTATTCTTAAATTGAGAATTGACATTTATCACTACAACAAAATCGGGTTTATAGGACACTCTCAAATTATAAGTGTCCTAATAGACCTCTTTATAGGACTTAGTTTATAGGACCAAAAAAAATAAAGTGTCCTATCTAAAGGTGTTGTAATAAGTTTATATGACGTTTTTTGACGTCGCAATAAGCTTTTCAGGACACTTTTAATATAAAATGTCTCATTATCAACTTTGTAAGACATTATTTGAAAAATTGTCCTATAAAAACAAGTGTTCTATAAAAAAATGAGTTTATAGGACACTTTCTCAAAAGTGTCATATAAAGCTGTTAATGTGACACTTTGTATTAAAAATGTTCTAAAAAACTTGTTAAGACGCCTAAAAGTGTCATATAAACTTATTACAACACATTTAGATAGGACATTTTATATTTTTGTCATATAAATTAAGTCTTATAAAGAGGTTTATTGGGACACTTAGAGATTGGAGGTGTCCTATAAACTCAATTTTATTATAGTGTATATTTGTGTTTTATGACAAAAAATTATAAACATGATATATACTAGTCGGCCCTACGGGAAGGGCAGCCAGGCAGCTCAGGGTCCCAACTCCCAAGCCCAAGAGCATCAAATAGTAAAATACTAGCTGTATAGTCATTAAAAACTAAATGAAATTATTACTAGAAAGATTCGAACCCAAATCATCTAGTATTATTAAAAGGTTTTTACCAATGAGCTGGAAATTATTTTGTTTATATTTATCTAGATTTCGCTTTAATTCCCCATTTTCTTTTTTTCACTTTCGATTAATTTTTAATGTTCATTTTTGTCGTGCTTTTACAACAATAAATATTTATTTGAAATAAAAATTAATAGCACAATTAAATTTGTACAACTTATTATTTTAAGAAAACCCTATAATAATACTTGAAAACTTATTATTTTTATCTGTATATCGTTCGTTCGAATGTGTTGTAAAATTATTATAACAAAATTAATGCATTACAGTTTACATAAAGTTTTACACGATTTTGTTGGAAGAAACTGTGCAAATGGTTGGATATGGACTAACACAATTTGAACAGTTTTACAAACCTTAAAATATATTTACGTTTTTTTCCCTGGTTGGAACATGTTTTAGCATTTCCGTCCAGGACATCAAAAAGCTTTGGACCAGCCATATGTATACATATAGAGAGTGTGTGTTTATTTTAATAAATTTTAGTTACTTTTTGTATTTTCATAAATATAATGATCTATCGAAATAAAACTATAAATAGAATTATTATAAAAATGGTTATATGAAATTGTTAGGCCTTTTCTACTTGTTATGCTATTTTTGTTCAAAAAAAATACAGTGTTTAATGTTTTGATCAACCATATTAGGTATGAAACACATTTTAATACGAAAAACTTGTAAATCACGGTTAATTTCATCGATATTTTAAGACAAACGACAATTGATAATGGACAAATCAATAACTTTGAACATAAAATTTTACAAAAATGAAACATTATGTTTCAAATTATATATATATATATATATATATATATAGGTGGAGGTTCAAACGAGAACATCTTCATTTTACGAGAACGCGAGAACACCCTTATCACATGTGATAATACGCGTGTAGGGACCCTGTGAT